CTCGGAGCGTTCTGCGGGGGAGGATGCTGCCTCGGCCCGCGTGCCCATAGCCGCGGGGCGGCCTGCAAAGCTTCGTTTTCTCTGACTCTGCTTCTGCTGGACGTAGGACACATCTCACCCCGTGTTCTCCTTCTTAGCCAAGAGAAGAAGAGAGTGAATTGCAAGCCCAAGAACCAGGATGAACAGGAAATCCCTTTCCGTCTCCGGGAGATTATGAGGAGCCGCCAGGAAATGAAAAACCCCGTCAGTAACAAGAGGAGGAAGAAAGAGGGTAATGTGCGGGCCCGTGTGGGTGGCAATAGAGTGTCACTGCCCAAATAGCCAAGGGCCTGCCAGGGGCCCGAGGGGGCGGGGCGAGGGCTGACCCGAGGCCGGCGTCTCCAGGGCCAACGCCGCCTCTGGTTTCAGAAGAGGCTCCAGGGGAGCCCTGGGCCTGGGGTGAGCAGCATTCACTTCCCCCAAGAGCAGGGGACCCGTCGGACGGGAGGTCGGTGCAGATGTACTTTGAGGGAAGGTCACTGTGTAGCGAGGGAGGGAGAGAGAGTGGACAGGGCCAGCCAGTGAGGCTCTTGTGAGGGAGAATGGGGGGCGCAGTGGGGGTGTCGGGTTAAGGAGGGCAGTGATGAGGCTCCCTCGGACAAACTGACCCATCACACCCCTCCCCCAGGCCAGGCCAGTGCCCTCCACCAGCTTCTGCCAGAGGTGGCCCTTCGCACGTGTGGGGAAATGGAGTTTCTGTTTTGTGTAGACGTGTTTGTTCTCCCAAATGTAGGACTGATTTTGCAGCACTGCTGCTGGGTAATTTAACCTAAATCCCGGGCTTTTTGAAAGATAAGCTCACATATGTGGTAAAATCAGGCCGTTCTGAGGGGTATGAGGCACAGCCTCCTCCCCCTAAAGAAACCACGGCTCCTGTTTCGTACCTTCCAGAGCCTGCACGTGCCTCCTCGTCCGTGTGACGTGAGGGCGTGCTGCCCTCTACACGTTCCGCGTGCAGTGGGCTTTATGGCCTGTCCACACCCCGGTGCGAGCTCCCCTGTGCTCTCCCCTGACCGGGGCCGGGAGGGGAGGCCCCTGCGTGAGCACAGGGACCACTCAGGACCGCCTACTGATGGACGTTAGGTGGCTTCCTGTTTCCTTTTTCAGCTGAGCTGACATCTCCGACCTGTACCAGGGGCCTGGGGTGACCCCGTCCCTGTGGGTGCCCCCAGGATGGGCATCGGACATCCTCGTCGGCCACAGTCGTTGGGCTGCTCCCTCCTGAGCCTGGTGTTCCCTTCCTGTGGCCTTGGGAGGGGGGTGACCATGGCAACCGGACTGGGACCACCACTCCTTCCGGCCCCGCCTCATCTCCCTTTACCCGCAGCCCAGGCGGCCTTCAGAAAGACGCTGGAGAAGGAGGCGAGGGGAGTGGATCCAGACATCGCGGTCCCCAAGTTCAAGCAGAAGAAGTGGGAGTCCGACGGCGCCTACATCCAGCGCATGGAGCAGGAGGCCCAGCACGTGCTGTTCCTCAGCAAAAACCAGGCCGACCAGCAGCCCGAGGCGCAGGTGGCTCCCAAGAAGAAGTCCGAGGGGAAGAAAGCGTGAGTGGGGGCTGGAGGGGCTTGGGGTCCCATGATGGTTTTCTGTTGCCAGGGGCAACCCCACCCCGTGATTCACGGAAAGAAGTTGAGAACCCTGGTCACCTCGGGGGTCAGGGGGGCTCTGACCCAGGAACTCTGAGGGCCCAGCTTTGTCTCTGTGTTTCTCTGGAAAGGCATCAAGGGGGACCAAGAGCCAGCGCAGGTCAGGCCTGCTGTCCAGCCAGGCTGGTTGCTGTCGGGAGCTGGAGAAAGGATGAGGCTCAGTGTCCTCCCAGGACCATGCCTACCCCGTGGGAATCAGGGCTGTGGGTGGGGGTCTGGGTGAGGCTGACACGCAGCCCTGGGGTTCCCCCTCTGGTCAGCAGGTGCCACCGTCTGTCCCTGGACCAGGACTGGGGTTGTTCCCAATGTCACCTTTCCTGTCCAGAGGAGATTTGAGAGCCCTTAGCAGTGACCCCTATTAGCCTCAGTTCCTCGTGTGTAAAGAGGAGGTGCCGGTGTCTCCATCTTACAGGTTGGCTGGCGGGGTGCAGCGCCCTCTCTGGTGGGCAGCTGTGGGGTGGTGAAGGATTGGGGACTTGAGGCAGCCGGCTGGGCTCTGCCTCGGGCGTCCCTCGAGGGCGGGGTGACCCTCACCGCCTCCTGAGTCCAGTGAAATGAGTTGGGAACCTGCCATGTTGTGCTTTCTCCCCCAGGTTCCAGAAGCGGCGGCGGGATAAAGTCCAGAAGAAAAGACAGGAAAAGGCAGCGGAGAGGCTGGAGCAGGAGCTGCTCCGAGGTGGCTCATCCTGAGGGGACTGTCAGCCTGGGTGGGGGTGGGGCCGGCGGCACCAATGTGCCCCCCGGGTCGGTGGGTGGGCACCCAGTGGCTCAGGTGGCAGCAGGCCTCAGGCGTGCTCCTCTGCCCCTCTAGACACCGTGAAGTTTGGTGAGGTCGCCCTGCAGCCCCCTGAGCTGACCGCCAAGCCGAGGAAGAGCGTGAGCACCGGCCAGGTGAGGAGGGCGGGGGGGCTTCCCTGGCTGCCACTGGGGAGTGCGGTTCCCACGGGGCCTAACAGCTCCGGGGCCAGGCTCTGTCACCTCCTTCCTGACCCTGTGCCGCCTTCTGTCTGGTCCTCAGCCTGGCAAGAAATCCCTGATGCTGGCGATGCTTTTGAGCCCTGGCGGTGTGTCCCAGCCCCCACCCACCTCCATGGCCCGACAGCGGATCGTGGCGGAGGAGAGAGAGCGGGCTGTGCAGGCCTACAGGGCGATAAAGAAGCGGCAGCAGCAGGGGCCTCAGTCAGCCCATCTCCCTCCCAGGAAGAAGCCAGAGACCTGCCTTTGAGAGACTAGGGTTCCAGCACTGGGGGGGGGGGAGGGGCAGGGGGTCCCCAAATCAGTCCTTTCCCTGGATGCCCCCCCGGACACAGCCTGGTGCACCAGCTCGAGTTCGGGAAACGGCTCCACTCTCTGCTCTCATTTTTTCCTCCCTAAAGACCACCCTTTCACATGAGATCATCTGCCAGGCCCTTGTCCCAGGGGACATCACCTGTGCCGAGCTGCCATAGAAGGGGCCAGTGCCTGGTTGAGTCCCAGCCAGTCACACCCAGCACCGTTCCCGAGCCTAGCATCACCCTCAGCTGTTCTGCACACACAGGTCCAGGCTGAGACAACCGCGGGCCAACCCCATAACCCATAATCCCAACCCCAGGTGCCAAGTGACTGTAGATGCTGTGGACTCGGGTCACCCACATCCATCGCAAGCTCCCGGGGTTCGCCAGTGCAGGGGGGCGGGGGCAGGACCACGAGGGGTGGTCGGCATCTACACCGCTGGCTCCCAGTGCCAGTTTAGTCCCCACAGAGGCAGCTGGAGTCCGTCCAGGCCTTGGTTCTGATGTGGAGCCCAATGACGGCACCGCCCCAAGGGGCGTGGCAGCAGGGAGCCTTTCTCACCGGAGCCGCGGGCAGCTGTCAGTCCTCCAAAGAGACCTGGTACCTCTCGACGCTGACCTGGCCTGGGCTCCCAGCTCAGGTGCAAGGCGCCCTCTCCCTGCCTGTGGCAGGAGTCGTTTCTGTCAGACCACTGTTCCCTCTGGTGGGGGTGGTACTTAGAGACCAACGTCTGGGTTCTAGGAATGCGGATGCTGAGATGTCGTTTCTAGACCATTTTTGCAGACAGGCCTTAGGAATATACTTTTTAAAATGTATATATGTAACTTTAAAGTTCTGAGTTTATAGATATTTACTATTAAATTTTAATATTTTAAGTTTTACTTCTGTCTTTGTATCTTTTACACTGAAAATGTTTCACAGATACACTTTATCCTCCAGTAAACATAAAATAGCTCTAATATGAACAACACTAACGTAAATGGACAGAACGAGGTTTAAGATTTCAGTTTTTGTTCTCATCCAACTAGACAGGCCAATGGTGTTGGAATGTCGCCTTAAGAGGTTCTTTTCTCTGGTTGTGGCACCAATTTGATACACAGTTAAGATCTTTTGTGTTTTCAGGCTTTAAGTTGCCATTTTTGCTGTTTTAATTCATTTTTTGAATACAGAGAACGCGGTTTACATAATTCAGATTTTACAGTGAAAGGGGGAGCTTCCCGCCTGCTGCTGCCCTGCAGGCGGGCCCTAGAGCTCACCCGGTGCTGCCCGCTTTCTGAGTCGCACACTCTTAGCTGAAGAGCTGATGACTTACAGCCCAGTCTTCTAACACTTCACGCTTTTCACCAGGCTTTGCTCAAGTCCTCTGAAATTGGGGGGTGTCTGACAGCCCTCTGAGTCTGCGAGGACCCCAATGAGGAGTGGAGATGGCCCGCGTCCAGGCTGCTCGGTGGCGCCTGGGGAGGTGGCGCCCAGCAGTGGCCCGGGCCGTGCAGAGAAGAGCAGAAAGCACCACAAGGCCTAAGGTGTCACAGCACACTCAGGCAGACAGCTCCTTACCAATCACAGGAGGCTGAACAGTGGCCCAAAAAGGTACATTCAAGCCTGACCCCCAGGACGTGCCAACGTGAACTTACTTGGAGAAAGGGTCTTCGCAGATGTAACCATGCGCTCAGCGGCACCCGCACTCCACCAGGCCTCTCCCTGCCTGCCTGCCGCTCCGGGTGCTGAGGTCTGGGGCCGGTGCTGCTCTCCTAGCCCTGGATAGTCTTCATTCCAACGTCGGCTGTCAGGACTTCCACCCTGGGTGCCTCAGTTTACCCATCACTGCAACTCGGCACTGAAGCCCCCCTTCTAGGTTTACGCTGGGTCCTTATCTTCCTAAGAACAAACCTCCAGAGGCCAAGCAGGGTTGCCCTCCGCCTCCTCCCCACAGAGCGGTCCAGCCACGCCCCCCACCCAATGGTCGTCAGCCGGCTCCGTGGGTGTCCTGGAGCCAGCGCAGCACCTCGGTCAAGCCCGTGCCCGTGCGGGCACTGATGTCTGCCACGGTGATGTTCTGCTTGGCACAAGCAATGATGTCTGGGAGCCTGATTAACGACTTCATCTCCTCTACGGTCATATAGCAGGCCAGGTCACTGGAGCGAAAGGGGCGCCTTGTCAAAGTGGGCCCCACAAGCCCACCCCAACCCCCACGCACCCCTCCCTAAGGGGCCACCCTCCTGGCTACATTCCAAGGGACCCCTTCTCCGGGAACCCTCTGAGCTCCCTCTCGGCTCGCGGACCCGTACGTTTTATTGAAGAGGATCAGGACCTGTGCTTCTGCGAGCGGTTCTGCAGAGAGCAGGCCCAGGAGCTGCGCGCAGGCTGCGGAGAGCTGGGTGGGGTTGGAGGCATCGATCATGAACTGGGAAGAAGGGGAAAGCTCAGGGCCACTCTGTGATGGAGGCAGCCCTGCCCAATCTCCTCCCCTGGGCACCACAGACCTGGCCTCAGACGAGCAAAATGACTTTGAAACAGAGGCTGCGGGGAGGGCTGTGCAGAGCAAGAACGCCCCCCAGCTTTGACAGGAGCTGCCGGCGGGACCACCAGCCTCTGGCCGAGTTCCCAGAGGGACACAGCAGCGTGGGCCCTGTCCCCTCCACTCGCTCACTCACTC